TTTAATTATAAATTAATTGCTATAGTATTTATAGTATTTTACAATTTTCAAAGGCTGTGTGATTTTCAATGTCTATTATTATGTGTGAAGTTGTTTTCACTGCAACACTGCGTCCAACAAAAGCCATGACTTTTGTCTCGCAAATAAAGTCCGTACAGTGCAGTGAATGGATGCACGAAAGGGGCGTTTATGAAGGTAGGGCTAAAGCGCTGGAAACCTATGGCTCATCGATGAATTCAGTCGGAAAAGTCACGGAAAAAACATAACGTTAGTTATGAACGCATCTCAAAGTTGTTTACGATTTTTGGGTTCAATTTAAAAGTTTGTCTCAAAATTGCGTTTAAATCCCAATTGAATCGCGATTTGTGTGACAGTTATCGACAGTTATCGCAGTTATCGTCGACTGTATTGTTGTGTGCATTGAGTGACAGACAGACAGTCAGTGACCACAAGAATGAGTGAATCACTGGTAGTGGAGAACAACCGTCTGATCCGTGACTTAATGTTCGCGAAGAAAGTCATCAAAAGTCTCGAAAATATCACGACTTTTGCCATTCAGTTGACACAAGAGGTCGACGGCGACTGCAATCCAGAGACGGTTCAGCGGATCCGCACAGACATCGACGCACACCTCAAGACTTACCACTCACTCAAAGATAATATCACTCGCGATGTGGAGGACGTGGAGCCCGCGACCAGTGGTAAGCCATCGATGTCTGGATTATCTCATTAATGGTTAACTGTTTTTTGGTTTTATAGACAAAAATAGCGACAAATGCGGTGATAATGAAGAAGTGGCGGAGAAGTCACTAATCGATGCCATGAAGACTAAGATGAATGCATTGACAGCCCGTAAGACACCGACTCGTAAGCCGAAGCCGTGTCACATAACAGGCCTCCCGACGCCCATCACATGCGTTGAGTGCCAAACAGTCTTTACGAGTGGCCACGAGTTTGTCACTCATATTACCGGCGCGAAGATCACCACTAAATCCGGTATTACTTAGAGTTTGTGTTAAATCTCGTAAAACCATTCACTTTAATGAATGGAAACTATTTTTAAGATACCAGTGCTCAGTGTCAGAGCGCCTATACTTTTATTTGATTATAGTTTTAAAACTTATGATTTGTGTCTATATTTAGTGAACCCGTTGACGACAACTAAAGCGACGAATAAATGTAAATAAAGTGCTCTTCATCTCAATGTTTAGACAATTATCTCAAAACCAAACTCTAATTCTGTAGACAAGTCTTCGGCAAAAGCGACAAAAAGGACTCAAACCAAACCCAATACCATCTTCGAGACCATCGATGGCAATGACGTCGCCTCCGAGCACTCATCAGTGGTGCCGATCGTCTGCATACCCGGCGGCTACCGGTGCGGTCACCCGGACTGCGACTACGCGGCCACCACCCGGCGCTTCATTCACATGCACTACACTATCCATCAGACAGGCGCCCGTCCCTTCCGGTGCGGTGTCGACGACTGCGAGCTGTCGTTCCGGACGGAACACATTCTGCGCAGCCATCAGATGGCTGTCCACCCGGAGGACACGAAAGAGCTGACGGGTCGGCGATGGATAGTCTGTCACAGGGATGGCTGCAAATACCGGACCAAATCCCAGGCCAATTGGGTCGCACACAACCGCATGCAACATACCGGTGCGGAACAGGCGGTTAGGTTTACGTGCGATGTATGTCATAAAAGTTATAGTCGACAGCGAGTGCTGGACGAGCACAAGAAGTTGGTGCATACTGGTGCCGATGACCGGGACCTGTTTGCCTGTCATTATTGTTTCCGACGCTATAAAACACAATCGGCACTCAAATCACATGTCATTCAAAAGCATCAAAACCTGTTATCTGTAAGCGTTGACGAGTCTGAAGAGGTTGAGGATCAGCTCATGGATGCTAACGATGAGAGCACAGGTAGCCACGCGATTGACTCACAATTGGATGATAGCGTAGGTTTAGCACAGGTATCACACGATTTGAGTGAGGGTTTGGACGCGACTACTGAGCAAATGGATGCGACAATTGATGACAACTCAGGGGACGATCAGTTGGCACCGGGAGGGACGGATGAAACCCTGGATATACCCATATTTACGACCTCCCGGGGCTTTGAGTGCGGATACCCGGCCTGTAACTACTCGTCGAAACTCCGGCGGAATGTCAACTCCCACTTCACGGTCCACCAGACCT